GGTGTGGTGTGTGTGGGGATGGTGTGGTGTGTGTGGGGGGAGGATGGGTGTGTGTGTGTGGGGGAGGATGGTGGGTGGAGGATGTGTGTGTGTGGTGTGTGTGTGTGGGGGGGATGTGTGTGTGTGTGTGTGGTGTGTGGGGGGGGGGGTAGGTGTGTGTGTGGGGAGGATGTGGTGTGGTGTGTGTGGGGGAGGGGTGTGTGTGGGTGGAGGATGTGTGGGGGGAGGATGTGTGTGTGTGTGTGTGGTGTGTGGGGGAGGATGTGTGTGTGTGTGTGGTGTGTGGGGGAGGATGTGTGTGTGTGTGTGTGTAGTGTGTGTGTGTGGGGGGAGGATGTGTGTGTGTGTGTGGGGGGGGGTGTGGGTGTGTGGTGTGTGGGGGAGGATGTGTGTGGTGGTGTGTGGGGGGGAGGATGTGTGTGTGTGTGTGTGTGTGTGTGGGGAGGATGTGTGTGGGTGAGTGAGGTGTGTGGGGGTGGATGTGTGTGTGTGGTGTGTGGGGGAGGATGTGTGTGTGTGTGTGTGTGGGGGAGGATGTGTGTGTGTGTGTGGGTGTGTGGTGGGTGTGGGGGAGGAGTGTGTGTGGTGTGTGGGGGAGGATGTGTGTGGGTGTGTGGTGTGTGGGGGAGGAGGTGGTGTGGGGGTGTGGTGTGTGGGGGAGGAGGTGTGTGTGTGTGTGTGGGTGAGGTGTGTGGGGGTGTGTGTGTGTGTGGGGGTGGGGTGTGGGTGTGTGTGTGTGGTGTGTGGGGGAGGAGGTGGTGTGTGTGGGTGGTGTGTGGGGGAGGTGTGGGGGTGTGGTGTGTGGGAGGATGTGTGTGTGTGTGTGGGGGGAGGTGTGTGTGTGGGGGAGTGAGGTGGTGTGTGGGGTGTGGTGTGTGGGGGATGTGTGTGTGTGTGTGTGGGGGAGGTGTGTGGGGTGTGGATGTGATGTGTGTGTGTGGTGTGTGGGGGAGGATGTGTGGGGGTGGGGGGATGTGTGTGTGTGTGTGTGTGGGGGAGGAGGTGTGTGGGTGTGGTGGGTGTGTGGGGGAGGATGTGTGTGTGGTGTGTGGGGGAGGATGTGTGTGGGGTGAGGGGGGAGGATGTGTGTGTGTGTGTGTGTGTGGGGGAGGAGGTGTGTGGGTGTGTGTGGTGTGTGGGGGTGTGTGTGGGTGTGTGGGGGAGGAGGTGTGTGTGGGAGGAGTGTGTGGGGGAGGATGTGTGTGTGTGGGGGTGTGGGTGTGTGTGTGTGTGTGTGTGGTGTGTGGGGGAGGATGTGTGTGTGGTGTGGGGTGTGGGGGAGGATGGGAGGATGTGTGTGTGGTGTGTGGGGGAGGATGTGTGTGTGTGTGGTGTGTGGGGAGGATGTGTGTGTGGGTGTGGGGGGGATGTGTGTGGTGTGTGGTGTGTGGGGGAGGAGGTGTGTGTGTGTGTGGTGTGTGGGGGAGGATGTGTGTGTGTGTGGTGTGTGTGGTGGGAGGATGTGTGTGTGTGGGTGTGGGGGAGGATGGTGTGTGTGTGTGTGTGGTGTGTGGGGGAGGGTGTGGGGTGAGGAGGATGTGTGTGTGTGGTGTGTGTGGGGGATGGAGTGTGTGTGTGTGTGTGGTGTGTGGTGGTGGGGGAGGATGTGTGTGTGTGGTGTGTGGGGGAGGAAGGATGTGGTGTGTGGTGGGGGGAGGATGTGTGTGTGTGGTGTGTGTGGGGGGGGAGGTGGTGTGTGTGTGTGTGGTGTGTGGGGGAGGATGTGTGTGTGTGTGGTGTGTGGGGGAGGATGTGTGTGTGTGTGTGTGGGGGGGAGGATGTGTGTGTGTGTGTGGTGTGTGGGGGAGGATGTGTGTGTGTGGTGTGTGGGGGAGGATGTGTGTGTGTGGGGAGGGATGTGTGTGTGTGTGGGTGTGTGGGGTGGGGGGTGTGTGTGTGTGGTGTGTGGGGGGGGATGTGTGTGTGTGTGTGGTGTGGGGTGGAGGAGGTGTGTGTGTGTGTGTTGTGTGTGGGGGGGATGTGTGTGTGTGTGTGAGGTGTGTGGGGGAGGATGTGTGTGTGTGTGTGTGTGGGGGGAGATGTGTGTGTGTGGTGTGTGGGGGGGAGGATGTGTGTGTGTGTGTGGGGGGGATGGTGTGTGGGGGGAGGATGTGTGTGTGTGTGGTGTGTGGGGGAGGATGTGTGTGTGGGGTGTGTGGGGGGGGGATGTGTGTGTGTGGTGGTGTGGGGGGGATGTGTGTAAGGGGCACTACGACGGGGCCTCGTAGCCTGGTGGATAGCGCGCAGGACTCGTAATTCTGTGCCGCGGGTTCGATTCCCGCACGAGGCAGAAACAAATGGGCAAAGTTTCTTTCACCCTGAATGCCTTTGTTACCTAGCAGTAAATAGGTACCTGGGAGTTAGTCAGCTGTCACGGGCTGCTTCCTGGGGGTGGAGGCCTGGTCGAGGACCGGGCCGCGGGGACACTAAAAGCCCCGAAATCATCTCAAGATAACCTCAAGATCTCAAGATCACCCCCCCCCCCTCCACACCCTCAGTTGTGAAATTAGCAGCCTGCCTCTAATTACAACCCCAATTAGCAGGATGACGAGGATAGTTGATATACCCAACACAGGTGAGTCAGGAGGGCCGGTTACCTCCACAACAGCGGCTTCACAACCAGGTTATAGCACTCGGTCATTCCCTGTGGTTTTAAGACATTTTTATATCATTTTATATCTATTTTTAGTATTGCATCATTATTTGTATTAGCCTGTTTCATTTAATTCTTATCATTATTATTTACGATAACTATATTAATACAATATTATTTAGTACCTTTATCATTAATATTTATTGACCTTTGTATAAATATTTTTATGAAGATAATGTTATTCTATGTTGTTCAGTCTTGCTCCCTACGTGTCCTTGCTCCGTGACCTTGGTCAAGGTCACCCCGTATCCTTGTACCGTGACCTTGGTCAAGGAGTGTAAGGTCGTCAGCACCACTACCCCACTGGCCACACCGTTGGCGGGCCAACTAAAAATCCTGGTTGGCCACCAGTTGGGGGCTGCAGAACCTCTCAGTGACTTCAGTAGAGTTCCGGGTTGGTCACCTTTTGTCTTATCGCAAGTGGGTTAAGGCAGGTGTCTGGGAAACCACCTGAACGCAGGTTCAAGTCACCCAATTGCCTCAAATTGATTCTTATTTTATATACATTATATATATATATATATATATATATATATATATATATATATATATATATATATATATATATATAGTGTGTGTGTGTGTGTGTGTGTGTGTGTGTGTGTGTGTGTGTGTGTGCGTGTGTGTGTGTGTGTGTGTGTGTGTGGTGTACTGACCTAATTGTACTTGCGGGGGGGGGTTGAGCTTCGACTCATTGGTCCAGCCTCTCAAGCATCAGTTAATTGCTGTACAGGTAGCTGAGCCTATTGGGCTCTGTCATATCTACATTTGAAACTGTGTATGGAGTCAGCCTCCACCACATCACTGCCTAATGCATTCCACCTGTTAACTACTCTGACACTGAAAATGTTCTTTCTAACGTCCCTGTGGCTCATTTGGGTACTCAGTTTCCACCTGTGTCCCCTTGTTCGCGTACCACCAGTGTTAAAATGTTTATCTTCATCTACCCTGTCAATTCCTCTGAGAATTTTGTAGGTAGTGATCATGTCTTCCCTTACTCTTCTGTCTTCCGGTGTCGTGAGGTGCATCTCTCGCAGCCTTTCCTCGTAACTCATGCCTCTTAGTTCTGGGACTAGTCTAGTGGCATACCTCTGAACATTTTCAAGCCTCGCCTAGTGCTTGACAAGGTACGGGATCCATGCTGGGGCCGCATACTCCAGGATTGGTCTTACATATGTGGTATACAAGGTTCTGAATGATTCCTTACACAGGTTCCTGAAGGCTGTTCTGATGTTAGCCAGCCTCGCGTATACCGCAATTGTAATTCTTTTTATGTGGGCTTCAAGAGACAGGTTTGGTGTGATATCAACTCCTAGATCTTTCTCTCTGTCCGTTTCATGAAGTACTTCATCTCCTATTCTGTATCTTGTGTCTGTCCTCCTGTTTCCACCGCCTAGTTTCACGACCTTGCATTTACTCGGGTTGAACTTTAGTAGCCATTTGTTGGACCAATCATTCAGTCTGTCTAGGTCATCTTGTAGCCTCCTCCTATCATCCTCTGTTTTAATCCTCCTAATAATTTTTGCATCATCAGTAAACATTGAGAGGAACGATTCTATACCCTCTGCGAGATCATTTACATATATCACAAACAGTATAGGCCCAAGGACTGACCCCTGCGGGACTCCACTGGTGACGTCTCGCCAATCTGAGGCCTCAGCCCTCACAGTGACTCACTGTCTTCTGTTGCTTAGGTATTCCCTTATCCAATGGATTACCTTCCCTTTCACTCCTGTGTGTGTATGTATATGTATGTGTATAAAGTATATATGGAAGCTGATCAGAATTACATTTCACCTTTGTAAATGCACATTAATGACACTATGTAAAAGACACATCGAACACTTTATGTAAGGCATACGTAAATCTGTGTATCTATGTATTTACGTATGTAGGTTAGCTTAGCATTTTAAAAGCACCGAATCACCTTCTGTGGTCGATTGTTCAATAAACCCTTGAACTATATGTTTAACACATATCTAACCCTGTCCATGGAGGACAGAAGAAAATGTATATATGCTGGTTAGCATTGTAAGTGTGTGGCCACGTCTGTGGTAGAAAATAATAATAAAAAAAAAAACTCCTGCCTGCATCTCCAGCTTTTTCACTAGCCTCTTGTGTGATACTGTGTCAAAGGCTTTCTGGCAATCCAAAAATATGCAGTCTGGCCACCCCTCTCTTTCTTGCCTGATTTTTGTTGGCTGGTCGTAGAATTCAATTAATCCTGCGAGGAAGGACTTGCCATCCCTGTGTGCGTGAGTGCGTGCGCGTGTGTGTGCGTGAGTGCGTGCGCGTGTGTGTGCGTGCGTACGTGCGTGCGTGTGTGTACTCACACAAGGGTACTTACAGAGAGCAGTACTCGAGGGCAGGGGGTGGCGGATTCCAGACAGAGCTGTGGTACAACAGCCAGTCACACCAGGCCTGGAACAAGAACAAAGAGGCATGAGAGAGTGGGCCCAGCCAAAGATGAGAACAATGAGGGTGAAAGACCAATGAGGAAGTTATAACACCGACCATCAGATGAGTGAGAGCGTGAGTGAACAGTGAGGCCAGTAAACTACTACTCTACACTCTTCTCAATGTGTAGACTCACTCTCTAATACATCTTAGTTTACAACATACATTAAGGGGGCATATCATTCTAAATCGTTATAAAATTAAAAGTTGTTCCATTTGCTTTATAATTTTTTTTATGCAATGGTTATAGAAAGGGCTGCAAATGGTCCAAGTTTCATCATCACACCCTAAACAGAAAAGGAGAAAAAAAATACACAACGTATTATGCAACGAATGTTCAACATTCTCAAATAATCTCAGGGAACACATGTGTCAACTAAAATGTCTACTGTGTGCTGTAGAAGCCCAAACTCTTGTAATAATTGTAATATGTATGTGCAGCATATATTATATTTAATTTTTTTTTTTTTTCATTTTTTTTTTTCTTTTTTTTTTTTGGCCAATAATTTTTTCTCGTTTGTTATCAAGGGATTTGCAATTGAAACTAGCACACCTTGCTCAATGGATGCCTATCTGCAAGGGTGCCAATTATGAACGAAATCTGTCGAAGTCAAGCTCAGCTACAGGTGTGCCGACCGAACTTGGATCTTTATTTTACTCTGGAAAGTAATTTACACCTTCAAATTACTTCAGAGCTTTCATTTTTATAATCAATTTACATGCAAATTACCTCTTATATGTAGCGTTTATGCTTTTACAGAATCTAGTAGACATTTTAGTCCAAAGTCTATTATTGATTTTATAAAAATTTATAAATATCATATATTGCATATTTTTTTAGAAGGGTAACTTTGAAAAATTATATTATTGCACTAAACACGTTTTTGATAAATCTGATCACTAGAATTCTTATTATGTGCTTAATTTAATATCTGAGTGTTATAGAAATGATTTTAGTGTGACACATGTGTTCCCTGAAAACTATTGAAAATTCGTTTGCATAATTCGTTGTTTATTTTTTTCTCCTTTTCTGTTTAAGGGGGGGATGATGAAAATTGAACCAGCTGCAGCCCTTTCTATAAACATTTCATAAAAAAATTTATAAGCAAATTGACCCACTTTTAATTTTACATTGATATGCCCCTTAAGCTAACTAGCCAGGTCATCGTTAGTTTAACATTAACACGCCCATCACCACTTCACTCTCGCAGGTGTAAATGTGGATTTATTAGTCTCGTTATCAGTTATGATCCACCTTCCCTTCGTTATCAGTTCTGATCCACCTTCCCTTTGTTATCTGTTCTGATCCACCTTCCCTTCGTTATCTTTCCTTCTCACTGATAAGCACTTGTTTACTCCTTCATTAATTTATATAATCTCTTTGATTGCATAAAAACCCAAGATAACCTTAAGATAACCTCAAGATAACACAACTTTTGAAACACACATTTTTCCCGGAGAGAATTGCAGGCTCCGACAAACTGTAAAATACCTGGTTGATACCTGGTTGATGGGGTCCTGGGAGTCCTTCTACTCTCCCCCAAGCCCGGCCCGAGGCCAGGCTCGACTTGTGAGCCTGACAGGAGGGAGGGGACAGCTGTGGAGCCTATCTTCAAACCAAGGAATAAGGGACAGACTAAGTGTGTGTGTTCTCCATCGCTAACAGACCAGCCGCCGAGGCCCTGCCTTATCCTCTTCGGTTTGCCAGACTCCTCTAGGTGGAGTTGAGACCAGATCTGTGGATCCGTTCCAGCGGTCAGATTAATGTTGGTTTATACTGCGTCAATTTGCCCTGCTATTACAGTGCCAGCGGTCAACGCATCACTCTTTAAAATGACATCGTCATCTCTATAATTTACCTACGTCTTGGGGTACGCATTGGTCGGGTCTTGGGGTATGTATTGGTCGGGTCTTGGGGTATGTATTGGTCGGGTCTTGGGGTATGTATTGGTCGGGTCTTGGGGTATGTATTGGTCGGGTCTTGGGGGTACGTATTGGTCGGGTCTTTGGGGTACCCATTGGTCGGGTCTTGGGGTACGGAACGGTTAAGAGGCGGGACCAAAGACAAATCTTTACCTACAAAAATGTCTTTATCTAGACGCTCGGGGCTAGCCTCACTTATTAACTTCCCACAATGAAACATGTGGGGTATGAGAGTGTCGTAGGCCAGTCAGGGTCGCCCACACTAAGAAATATTGGCATCTATAGCGATTCCACACACTGATTTTTATGAAGTTCAAAATAGGTGATTTGATTTCCGTACAGTTTTATTCAGTTTATCAGGACTCGTAAATTTCCGAGATGGGGAAAGAGTGGGGGGGGGGGAGGGGGGGGGGGGGGGGAGGGTGAATAGGTGAGACTGGGAGAAAGATTTGAGATGAAATATGATATATATAAATATATATATATATATGACAATATCAGACCACGAAGGAAGAATTGAAACAAGAATTTCCTTAAGTACTTTCGTATTTAACAACTCATCTTCAGGAGTCATTCCTTCTGAAGATGTATTATTAAATACGAAAATACTTAAGGAAAATCCTGTTTCAATTCTTCCTTCGGGGCCTGACACTGTCACATTTGTCATCACGTGTTAATTTTCGTGATTTACACCCCCCCCCCACACCCCCCCCCACACACACACACACACACACACCACACACACACCCACACCCACACACACCACCAGGGCCTCGTAGCCTGGTGGATAGCGCGCAGGACTCTTAATTCTGTGGCGCGGGTTCGATTCCCGCACGAGGCAGAAACAAATGGGCAAAGTTTCTTTCATCCTAAGTGCCCCTGTTACCTAGCAGTAAATAGGTACCTGGGAGTTAGTCAGCTGTCACGGGCTGCTTCCTGGGGTGTGTGTGTGTGTGGTGTGTGGGGAAAAAAAAAAAAAAAAAAAAAAAAAAAAAAAAAAAAAAAAAAAAAAAAAAAAAAAAAAAAAAAAAAAAAAAAAAAGTAGTTAGTAAACAGTTGATTGACAGTTGAGAGGCGGGCCGAAAGAGCAAAGCTCAACCCCCGCAAAAACACAACTAGTAAACACACACACACACACACCCAGATCCACACACACACACCCCACACACACACGCACACACACACACGCACACACACGCACACGCACACACACGCACACGCACACGCACACACACGCACACGCACACACACGCACACGCACACGCACACACGCACACGCACACGCACACTCACACACACACACACACACACACACACACACACACACACACACACACACACACACACCTCCGCGTAGCGTGTGTGGTGGCGCGTGAAGCACGTGTATGGACGTGCTTCACCGCCACAAACATATACTGGGAAAATATTCCAGCATTGAGGTGCACGTGAGCATGCGTGCAGCAGCCCGCACACCTGACCTCATTACTAGGAACATCTTCCTCACAACACACACATCCCCTCACCTCATGAGACACCCCCTCGGGGCCTGGGGGGCGACGTCCCCCCCCCCCCCCACAGGCCCCATAAGTCATCGACTACAAGTCCATCAGGCAGTATTATGAGTATAGATTATGAGTAAAGTATAATGAGTTCAGGGATTATAATGAGAAATAAAGTGATTTGGAAGAAGTAGTAAAGATAACCATGATAGTGGTGGTTTAAGGAGCCTAATTTATTACCAAAAATATACAATTTGAATGAATACATGTTAAAACACCTGTCAAATTCCTTTTTAATGGCGTTTATTTTAGTTTAATTTAAGATGTTTTATGCTACACATGTTTGTGGGGTCGAGCTGTCACAATCCTGGCCAATTAGCTTCACCCCAGGATCCATTGGCCAACCAGGAGGAAGTCCTGGAAAGATTAACCAATCAGGAGCACACGGGACCTAACGGACCAATCAGGGCCGAGAAACTATGTTTGAGAGGTGGCCACGTCACACGGAGTAGTTTGACCTAGCGAGGCAGGTGTTGACCTAGCGAGGCAGGTGTTGACCTGGCGAGGCAGGTGTTGACCTAGCGAGGCAGGTGTTGACCTAGCGAGGCAGGTGTTGACCTGGCGAGGCAGGTGTTGACCTAGCGAGGCAGGTGTTGACCTGGCGAGGCAGGTGTTGACCCAGCGAGGCAGGTGTTGACCTGGCGAGGCAGGTGTTGACCCGGCGAGGCAGATGTTGGGTGAGACGGGCAAGAAGCACACTGCTGGGTAAACAAACGCCGGTACAACACCAGCACAGCAGACACACACACACACACACACACACACACACACACACACACACACACACACACACACACACACACACACACACACATCGATTACAATGATCACATCATATGATAAGTTCGTTAGGGCACCATTCATTCCTCCCGTCCGATCCCAAATCCATATCCTGTGACCCCTTTCCAGTGCTATATAGTCGTAATGACTTGGCGATTTCTCCTCATAGTTCCCTTCCCTTCGTTAGGTCACCAGTAGTTGATAAGCATGATTTACCCCATGTCCCGGAGGCCCGTCCGCCCAGGGGGTGGGTAAGGAATCACTCCTAAGAGAGCACATTCACGTCGACCCAAAACGAGGTGGTCAGCTGCGGAACAATTCCTTCAGGGACCCTCCAGGAAACACAAACACACATGGAGCTACATATTATATGCAGTGTCCTTATGTGTATTATATACAGTGTCCTTATGTGAATTATATACAGTGTCCTTATGTGTATTATATACAGTGTCCTTATGTGAATTATATACAGTGTCCTTATGTGTATTATATACAGTGTCCTTATGTGTATTATATACAGTGTCCTTGCTGGCCAAGTGGAAACAGAGTAGAGGTAGACACACCAGCTACTACAACTACCATATTCCCAAGTGGACCCAGAGGGGAATAATACATTGTGCTTGAGTGTGGTTTCTTGCCGCCATTTATCTAGCCCCCACCTGACGAAGGCCCTAACATGACGGAACCCCACCCACGCCAGTT